CAGCCTTTACCATATCCTTCATAAGAAACTGGCAATGTAAGAAAAGTGCTTCCCTGAATTCTGTGAGCTGTTACAACAAACTGTCGAACCTGAGGAGAAGGCTTGACCTCTGCTTTGCAGCCAAACTGGACAGAAGTATGAGTAGGATGGAGGCATCGTACTGGGCACAATCTTGTGGGACTGATCCCTTAAGCTGTTGGGTCTGCACTAACTCTGGGAGATGTCAGAATTAAGCTAAATTGTAGGACACCCAGATGATGCCTGTGGAAAATTAGAGAATTGCTTTGGATGTCAGAATACTTGGTGTCAGAAGTGTTCTGAGATTAGAAACAGGTCCCAGCAGTAGTAACACATCACTGGAGCAAAGGGGTGACACACCCTACACAAGGCAGGAAGCTGTCCAACTACGTGGAAGCTGCATTGCAGGTGTGCAGGTGGCATCACTTGTAAACAGGCGTTGGACCAAATAGATAGATGTAACCAGTGAATGTGAATTTGTCTGTAATGATAATGCATGAAATAAATTTGACCTTCACTGAAAAGGGATTTGTCAGGCTATCAAAAAGAACACTGAAAAATTATTTATAAGCAGGGCAGAGATGCATCAAAGAAGAGGATGATTTTAACAAAGCCAAGTGACCTGCAATATTTTCATCATTGAAAACATTAAATGTCAAGTACCTTAAGACTTCCCAGAAACTTTTGGAGAACGTCTATAACTATTACGGGAACACAAATTTCTCAGCAAAGAAAGGGCCAGGGCACAAATATCCCAGCTAGTAAAGCAGGGAACTTCTGGATACCGCAGAACACAGCAGGTGCTCTCAGCCCTGGAAGGCTCAAGTGCTTCTAAACTTCAGTGTCTTCAATGGTAACAGATTAGCACAGGACTACAGTCTGTGGGAAGTATATGAGAGGAAAATCATTGAAATGTAAGACAATATTACACGACGAGATCCAGTGTAGCTGCTGGAATTGCTTAGGAACATGGCGTAGAAGGCAGAACAACAGCTATCAAACATGCCTGCATACTAGTCCCTGGAACTTGTGAATAGTAAAAGGGATTTTTTTTTTTTTTTGACAGGCAGAGTGGACAGTGAGAGAGAGAGAGAGACAGAGAGAAAGGTCTTCCTTTGCCGTTGGTTCACCCTCCAATGGCTGCCGCGGCCGGCGCGCTGCAGCCGGCCCACAGTGCTGATCCGAAGGCAGGAGCTAGGTGCTTCTCCTGGTCTCCCATGGGGTGCAGGGCCTGAGCACTTGGGCCATCCTCCACTGCACTCCCTGGCCACAGCAGAGAGCTGGCCTGGAAAAGGGGCAACCGGGACAGAATCCAGCGCCCTGACCGGGAATAGAACCCAGTGTGCCGGCGCCGCAAGGCGGAGGATTAGCCTAGCGAGCCGCGACGCTGGCCATAAGGGATTTTTAAAAAAAATGATTTACTTGGGGGCCGGCACTGTGGCGTAGCGGGTTAACACCCTGGCCTGAAGTGCTGGCATCCCATATGGGTGCTGGTTCGAGACCCGGCTGTTCCACTTCTGATCCAGCTCTCTGCTCTGGCCTGAAAAGCAGCGGAACCCGCATGAGAGACATGGAAGAAGCTCCTGACTCCTGGCTTTGGATCAGCGCAGCTCCAGCTGTTGTGGCCAATTGGGGAGTGAACCAGCAGATGGAAGACCTCTCTCTCTCTGCCTCTCCTTCTCTCTTTGTGTAACTCTGACTTTTAAATAAATAAATAAATCTTTAAAAAAATGTCAATAGCTTTAACAAAATACATAAGGATTACGTACTGATACCATAAAAACTCTTAAAATTACAAAATGTGTTTTCCCCCCATTATCTGGTCTCCAAAATAATATAACATTTCCAGAAATCAACCATCAGAAGGAAGTTTTCTTTTGAAAAAAAAAAAAAAAAAGTTTATTATCTGCATCTACTTGAGCGAGAGTGACAGTGAAAGCAAACCCATCTGCTGGTTCACTCCCCAGTACCTGCAACAGCGAGGGCTGGGCCAGGCTGCAGCCAGGCGTCAGGAATCCCATCTGAGCCTCGCACGCAGCGGGCAGGGGCCCGAGCACTTGAGCCGCCTTCTACGGCCTCCCAGGATGCACTAGCAGGAGGCTGAATGGAAAGCAGAGCAGCTGGGACTTGACTCCAAGCTCTCTGATACAGGATAGCAAGAGTCCCGAGCAGGGGCTTAACCCACGGTGTCACAATGCCCGCTTCAAGCTTTGGCTTTTATCACAGATAGGTGCATTGAATCTGACCTAGTGAAAAACAGAATTCCGCAAGTGATAAACCTCTTAAAATGAATGGCAACAGGGGAGATCAAGAAAATCAACCAACTAGGAAAATAAGGTGATGGGATAGAGGGATGATAAATAATACAAAGGGAGAGTCACAGGAAGTTTCCATCTGTGTGGAGTCTATGTAAATCATGGAAGGCTCCTTTAGGCCTTGTGATAAGATGCATGAAGCCAATCCTGACTGCAGTGTTCTCAGGTTCAGTGAGGAAGCTACTGATTCCATTTCTTTCTTTCTTTTATTTTGACAGGCAGAGTGGACAGTGAGAGAGAGAGACAGAGAGAAAGGTCTTCCTTTACCATTGGTTCAACCCCCAATGGCTGCTGCGGCCAGCGCTGATCCGAAGCCAGGAGCCAGGTGCTTCTCTTGGTCTCTCATGCGGGTGCAGGGCCCAAGGACCTGGGCCATCCTCCACTGCACTTCCGGGCCACAGTAGAGAGCTGGACTGGAAGAGGAGCGACTGGGACAGAATCCGGCACCCCGACCAGAACCAGAACCTGGGGTGCTGGTGCCGCAGGTGGAGGATTAGCCTAGTGAGCTGCGGTGCCAGCCCTGATTCCATTTCAAAGTCACTTTCTACCAGGTGTGGCAGCACAGGCAATTATGCACATTAAGTTTACATTTTTTTTTTCCAAAAAGAATAATGGGTTTCTGCTTAGACATCAAACACACATGGTTTGAGTCTGGTGTTTTCTTTATAAAGTTTTTATTTGAAAGGCTGAGTGACAGGGAGAGGAAGAGGGACAGGGAGAGGGAAAATAAGTGGGAGACGGTGAGGGAGAGATAGTAAGAGAGTGAAAGAGAAATAAAGAGAGACAGATCTTCCAATCACTGGTTCATGCCCTAAATGGCCCCAGCAACCAGGGCTGGGACAGCCCAAAGCCAGGAGTCAGGTACTCCATCCAGTTATCCAATGTGGGTGGCAGAAACCCAGGTACTTGGGTCATCATCTGCTGCCTCCCAGGCACACGAGCAGGGAGCTGCATCAGAAGCGGAGGCAAGACTCCATCCCGGCAGGCAGATGTGGGATGCAGGCCCCTGCGTTGAATCACGGCGCCACAATGCCCACTGCTATTTGGTCTTTTAAATTTGAAGTCTCCAACTTCAAATCTGCAGCAGAGTCCAAACTTCAGACAAGTTCCCATGCCACAACGAGTGACTGTGGCCTTACTTTAGTGATCAGACAGAAAGCTAAAAGTTTAGAATAGAACATGAAAAAAAAAAAATATAAAAAAGAGTTAGTCAAGCCAGGTCCTTCCCCCGTTCATGAGAGGGTTCAGGAAGTTTAGATTCCATGCTGATTTTATTGGGTGCTGTGCTCCAGTTCTTTGCCCTCTTTGCAGATAAGGAAGACGCCTGGCCTTCAACTCCGAAGATGACACTCTGAGCTGCTGTCCCATGGTGTGTGTGTTGAATGGTTTCCCCGGAGCAGGAATAAATTTGCCTCGTCACTCAATAACTAATTTTAGAAGCAGTTACTGTTCTTGAGAATTTAGAGTTTCTCTTCTCTGAAATTCTATGTAATTTTTAGTTCTGGATGTTTCTGTATTACAACAAAGCAACAGCTTCTAAGTGCCTGTTTTTTTTTTTTCTATTGGCCAATGTGAAATAAGGACAATTAAGTAAGTTTTTCTTAAAGGTAAATGTTTCCAACTTAAGAAAAAGTCCCTTTATTCTCAAAGATTATGCTTTTTCATTGTTTAGTAATAAAGTAAACATCCTTTTATCCTTTTTTAAAAAAACAGATTTATTTATTTATTTGAAAGAGAGTTAGAGAGAGGCTGAGAGAGAGAGAGACAGAGAGGTCTTCCATCTGCTGGTTCACTCCCAAGTGGCCACAAGGGCCAGGGCTGGGCCGATCTGAAGCCAGGAGCCAGGAGCTACTTCCGGGTCTCCCATGTGAGTGCAGGGGCCCAAGGACTTGGGCCATCCTCCGCTGCTTTCCCAGGCCACAGCAGAGAGCTGGATCAGAAGTGGAGCAGCCAGGACTTGAAACAGCACCCATATGGCATGCTGGCACTGCAAGTAGCTTTACCCACTGTGCCACAGAGCTGGCCCCAAACCTCCTTTTTTTGAAATTATGGTGATACTGGGTGTGAAGTGTTTTTTTGTGTGTGTTTTTTCTAATACATTTCTTGGAAAATTGGTTGGCTAAACCTATGACCCCTAAATTCTTTTCAAAATTATATTTATTTGTAAATTTAAAAGTATAGGCAACAAAGGGTGTTTTATGTTTGCTTCAGCAATACCACTTCGGGTCTAACAACCCTAAATGATTTACAGTCTGACTGATGCACCTCCGCTTTTGGCAGTGGAAAGAGAAATGGACTCAAGGAAGTACTGTGGACTGAGGACATGCTTCTGGAAAAACAGTATTTCCATTCTCTTGTAAAGCTCAGGAAATGTGCTTTGGTTTTTTTCTTTCCTACTGGAAGATGTGAATTATGTGCCCTGATCTTTGGCACAGTGTTACTGGATATATTTTAAACATCATTTTTCTGGGTAAGTCAGCAATAACATATGCACTCTATAAATGTCAAACACAGAATGCAACACATTCAGCATTCCACAAATCCATGGCCAATAACTCAGCATCCCAAGCATTTAAAATGTCTACAACATAGCTCAGCTCATTTCCACTCGAAACAAAGAAATGACTACTTCCCCCCCCCCCCCCGAAATTCTTAAGGGCAACATGGATAAGGAAAACTCAATAATATTCTCTGCTTTCTTTCATAAGAAAAGGCTTTTCCAAAAGTTACTCTTTTTTTTTTTGAAAAGCAAAGAAACAGCGAGCAAGGGAGTGCTTCCATCCGCTGGTTTACTCCCCAGATGCCTGCAGCAGCTGGGGCCAGAAATGGATCTCAGAACTCAATCCAGGCCTCCCACGGGGGTGGCAGAAACCCAATTATTTGAGGCATCACCGCTGCCTTCCAAGGTCTGCGTTAGCAGGAAGCTGGAGTCAGGAATCCAATGCCAGCACTGTGATTCAGGACACAGGTGTGTTAACAGCTAGGTTAAATGCTCTCCCCAGTAAAGCCTTTTGATAAATACACTGGAAGAATTCACATGATATTGTAAATACATGCATTATAATTTCCAATTTGAAAATGAGAATATTCAGGCATTTATTGCCAGTTCTCCAAAAGCCCATTTAAAATTTAAAGATTTACTTAAGGATCTTAAAATTTATTTCAATGGAACATATTTATGGAGAACAGTGAGTTAAGAACACATTTATTCAATGTGTGAAGATCAAATCAGGTTAGTTAGCATTTCCATCTCTTTAAATATTAAAAATGTTTAGTGACAATTTCATAATTTATAGTGCTCAGTGTGACATTTCAATAAATGTATACAGTATATGCTGTTCAAATGTCTCTTTGTCATGACTATGAATGGAGGCTTTGAGCGTCTCTCTTCTATGTATATTGACAATATACAGTAGATTGCTGTGAACTATAGTCACCACACTGCTCTGTGTATCACTAGAAACTTCTCCCCTCTAGCAAGTGAATCCAGTTCTGTGCTCTTTTCACTATATCAAGTTGCATATTTATGTCTTCTGGTTGATTCTGAAAGTAGAAATGTCTCTCATTAATTGCAGATCATTTAACCATCGAATAGGCAAAATATGTTCATGATCTTTTTCAAACCATTAAAGGATACCTTGCAAAGACCCTCATGCAGCCTCGATTGGGTTCAAGATTTTACACACAGGGATGATTCAAAAGCATTTAATGCTTGAAGTCACTCCCAGCTCTGGACGACTAAGTATAACCTACCAGCTGTTTCACAGCATGCATTTCAGGGTAGCTAGTAGCCAATAAGCAATAAAAAGAAAAATGTGTGTCTATGAACTCTCAGTGTAGGGTTAATCTTGTGAGTGTAAAGTATACTGAAAATAGATCTTTTTAAAATTAAGAGTAGGGGGGCCAGTGCTGTGGCGTAGCGGGTAAAGCTGCTGCCTGCAGTGCCGGTGTCCCATGTAGGTGCCAGCTCCAGTCCAGGCTGCTCTGCTTCTGATCTAGCTCTCTGCGATGGCCTGGGAAAGCAGAGCAAAGTCCTTGGGCCCCTGCACCTGCATTGGAGACCTGGAAGAAGCTCCTGGCTTCAGATCCGCACAGCTCTGGCCATTGTGGCAAACTGGGGAGTGAACCAGCGGATGGAAGACCTCTTTCTCTCTCTCTCTGCCTCTCCTCTCTGTGTAACTCTGACTTTCAAATAAAATAAATAAATCTAAAGAAAAAATTAAGAGTGGGAATAGGAGAGGGAGGAGGAAGAAGGGTGGGACCTTAGGCAGGAGTGAGGGTAGGGTGGAAAGTATCACTATGTTTCTGAATCTGTATATATGAAATTTGTACATCTTAAATAAAATTTTTAAAAAATGTCACGCTTAGTCAACAGTGTTCTACCATAACATATCGCTATGTTTGTGGGTCACAAAGTACCATGAACACATTGTGTTTGATACAATGGTTACACTGCTAGGATTCTAATAACATCAACAAAAATTTCCCAACCTGGACTTTTCTAATTGTATACTTTAAATATCTACATTGTTATTTTTAGTGATACTCTTATTTTTAAAAACAAAAATTTATTTATTTACTTTCATTTTATCTGAAGGTAGAAAAACTGAAGGAGGCAGACAGAGATCTCTCACCTACTTGTTCACCTGCAACAGCCGAGCCTGGGCCACACCAAAGCCAGGAGCCGGGAACTCCATCCGGGTCTGTCAGTGTGATGGAACAAAGACATAACCCTCAGCCATTCTCCTCATTGTCCAAAAGAGAGAGAAACACTGGAATGTATTCCTTGCCCTTGAACCTCAATTGAGTCTCACACCTTATTGCCTTCATACCCCACCCTACATTCTTTCCTAAGCTCCCAAGGTCACCCACGGCCACCTGAAAGACCAATTCCAGGAATTCACCTCCACCTGCTACACCCCCCACCTTATCCTTAGCCCTCCTAAAATATAAAAAGGCCTGGCCCCTGTGGGCCCAGCCTTCTGCCACGTGTTCCATCAATGTGCACTCTGGCAGCTGGTCACCCACCTCTATGAATTCATTTTCTCTGAATATATCTGGTCTGGCTATAGATTCATATAGTGCCTCCTCTCTGTTCTGTGCCTTTTCCCCCTTTTTTCCTATCATTGTGTGTTTACAGGAACCCAAGTACCTGAGCCACCCTTTGCTGCCTCCCAGGGTGCATATTAGCAGGAAGCTGGAATTGGAAGTGGAGCCAGGATTTGAACCCATACACTCCAATATGGGATGTGGGTGTCTGGAGTGTGTTTTAACTGTTGCATCAAATGCCCAACCTTAAAACTTTAATTCTTAATTTTTCATTCCAAAAGAATTTTATAAGAAAAATGCTATATTAAATATCACATTCTAGGTGCCAGCGCTGTGGTGTAGCAGGTAAAGCTGCTGCCTGCAGTGCCGGCGTCCCATATGGGCACCAGTTTGAGTCCCGGCTGCTTCACTTCCGATCCAGCTCTCTGCTATGGCCTGGGAAAGCAGTAAAAGATGGCCCAAGTGCTTGGACCCCTGCACCTGTGTGGGAGGCCAGGAAGAAGCTCCTAGCTCCTGGCTTCGGATAGGCATAGCTTCAGCAGTTGCAGCCATTTGAGGAGTGAACCAGTGAATGGAAGTTCTCTCTGCCTCTGCCTCTGTAACTCTGCCTTTCAAATAAATAAATAAATCTTAAAAAAAAAAACCACATTCTAGATAAAGATGTGTTGACTGCAGTGAGGAGGACAGAGGCATGGAGGAGTGGATGATAAGTCTGTGTGTGTACATGATTAACATAATTAATAGTCATTTACTACATAAGTTTAAATTCAATATGCCCAAAGACCTTGTTAAACTGGCATCATCCTCTCTTTTGCTTAGCTGAATCAATATAAGGAAAAGAAGACTTGTGTTTATTAAGGGACTTGGAAGTCATAATCTCCATTTATGAGTGACAGGTCTTGAGTGAAGACCAGCTCTATTCCTTAACAGCTCTGGGGTCTTGGGTAAGTTCCCCAAGAATCATTTTCCTCATTTGTACCATGGTTGATGATAAATGAAGTATTTTATTTTCTAACTTTTTTAAAGGGCAACAAAAATAGTCTCTAGAGGAAGTACAGGATGGATTTCTCTTGATTTAAAGAATAGGAACAAGCATTGCAAGGCTCTGTGACAACAGCGCATCTGCTAAGGAGCCTGACCTCCTCCACCATGTCTACACATGCGCCAAGAAGCAACAGTGTGGTGTTTTCATACAACTCAACTCAGTCTGTGAACTGCAGTCTCTAATGTGGAGATGTGTGAATGTGCGTGTCTGCGTGTGTGTATGTGTGGGGTGTGTGTGCGTGCATCCCCAAGTGTACTTCAGTTTGAGGAGTAGGGGCAACTTATATGTGACTTTATTCTCGAGAAGTAAGCATTTCATTCTAACACACCTGTGGTTGGAGTATGTGCAGCAATGTGAGGATCACTCCCCATAAGGCCTTTATTCATAGGCAGAAAATACTAAATATTAAAACAGAGGGGCTGGTGCTGTGGCTTAGTGGGTAAAGCCACTGCCTGCAGTGCCCGCGTTCCATATGGGAGCCGGTTCAAGTCCCGGCTGCTCCACTTCCGATCCAGCTCTCTGCTATGACCTGGGAAAGCAGTGGAAGATGACACAAGTGCTTGGGCCCCTGCACCCACGTGGGAGACCTGGAAGAAGCTCCTGGCTTCGGATCGGTGCAGCTCCGGCCACCGTTGTAGCCATCTAGAGAGTGAACCAGTGGATTCAAGACATCTCTTTCTCCCTTTCTCTCTCTCTCTGCCTCTCTGTAACTCTGCCTTTCAAATAAATAAATAAATCTTAAAAAAAGAAGGCAGAAATGTAAAAATAATGGCAAATGTTATAAAATGTTATAGATTTCCTTAACTCATATTAACATACTGGCATTAGATATGATCATATTAATCTTCCCTCTTTTTTTTTTTTATAAGAACCTTATTAGAAAGTACATTTTTTTCCTGTTTGTTTTGTTTTGGTTTTTAAGATTCTTTATCTCACCTAACACATGCCCATGGCTGGGGCATTCTCAAGGTGAAATAGCTGCACATCTCACAGATGGATGACCTTGCATTGTTTGGAAGAAAAGTACAATATAAAGCCACACTTTGATTGCATCTTAAGACTGTTCCACCCCAGGGGAGTTCAGCGCAAAGCCCTTGGGTTTCCTTTAGAATAGCAATCAGCAGGGGCAAATGAGGGCTGGCCTAGAATGAAGGAGATCTCCAGAGTTCTGTGTCCCTGGAACCCCAACAGCACTCAGAAGTCCAGGCTTTCTCCCATCAGCTGGACGACTATGCATAAAAGGGCAGCGCTGATGAAATACCCTTTGCTGCTGATGAAAGTAGAAGGAACTTCAAAACAGCCGGCTTTGTGGAAAAGCAGTCTGCCACTCTCACATTCTGCATACAGCGGACGTTGAAATAAAAGTGTCTAGATGAACAGTTACAGTAAGAGACAGCTCATTTCATCTCGCCCTGATGTGTTTGGCAACTGCTAACCATCCTTTCAAATGCAGTTCAGCCATCAGCTTGCTGCTAGCACAGTGTTTTCTGTGTGTTTATGTCTGATTTCCATCCTAAAGAGAAGGGAAGTCAGCAGATCCACAGCCTGCTGCGTCCCAGACATACAAGCAGCGCTGAGCACAAGCCTGTGGATGAGAAAATGCGCACAACAGGGCTGGAACAATGGTGGGCGGGGCCCCTCCAGAATGACCCATGGGGAGTAAGCGAAGTCTCTACAGGTAACTGAATGAGTTAGGGTGCTTGGGTTCAGAGTTGAAGAACAATGCTTTAGTTTTAACTCACCTCCGAGAATAATTTATAGTAGTATTGAAAATGAAAACAGTTAGCAAGGCACCTACTTTGTGGGTTCTAACAAAGACTGCCAATGTGGATGCACATTTTTATACTGTGCCATACCGAGTGAGCATCTCTAAATCCCAAATCTAAAATCTGAAACATTCCACAATCTGAAAGCTTTTGAGCACTGACCTGATGCCACAAAGTGGAAAATTCCACCCCAGGTCTCAAGGGATGGGTCACAGTGAAACCGCAGGCACACAGTGCACAGTACATTTAGTGTCCCCAGTGGGAAAAGACTCCCCACCCTGTTAGCTGCAACATGCTAACTTTGCTTCATGCAAGAGACTGTTGTATTAAATTACCTTCAGGCTATGTGTATAAGGTGTATATGTAACATAAGTGAACGTCAAGTTTAGACTGGGGTCCCACCCCCAAATTTCTCTTTGGGTATATGCCAACATCCTAAAATCTGAAAAACAAACAAACAAACAAACACAAATCCAAAACAGTGCTGGTCCCAAGCATTTCAGATGAGGGACACTTAACCTGAATTAAGCACATAAATAATAGGCCAGCAGTAACCACTACAAAAAGTCAGCGAAAATAAAATAACAATTTGAGAGCCACGCGGAGTCTGCTCCCATTCTCTTAAGAATATTCAAGTGAGTGCACCAAAGGTCTCCCTTGGGACCCTGACTCACTAGGACATGCAGACTATCTAAGATGACGTGCTCTTTGCTTTGAAGTGAACTAGTCAACAGTAATTCTCTCCTCTGGAATCTAAGGTTTAACACATGTGATTAACTCCTTCAAGGCACCTTGGAAATTCGGATGTGTCATCACATGTATGACATCATCTCTGCTGACACACAGAGGGAATAACAACTCCATCTCAGAAGAACAGGTCTGATCCATACGAAGTTGAGTCACTTGTGATGCGCTGTTCTGTTCAAGCAGTCAGGACAGCCGCCATGCCTCTGCCTTCAACGTCTATAGGCTGCTGGGTAGCTCAAGGACCCAGCAACTAAATGAACAGCTCTGTATTTTTGAAACACGACTGCTGTTAATGAAAGGAAAGAGAGGCAGAGTGGAAGTTAGCTATGAGTTTGGAGACTGCCCTAGCTTGCTGATCCTCCAGCCACCTAGAGAAGAAAAGACAGCCACGAAGATGCTGACAGAGGGTGAGAAGCCAACACTTTTCCTTTTACACTTCCTTAGAGAATCTTGCCTTCTCTCAATGTATGAAGGCCTTGGAGACTTTACAACTATCTTTCCTGGACCCTGACGAAGCATCAGAAGATCAGAGCTCCCCAATCTGTTCTGTAGAGATGAGGAAATAGCGTTTTGGAGGAGAGACTTTCAATGATGCCAAAGAATTCATCTCATTTCTGTTTAACTGACTTCCTCCAAAAGAAAAAGGAAACTATGGCTACATGAGATATATATACAATCCATCAAGAGTAGAAGTGCATGGAATTACAGATATTTAAATGATGAGTTTATGTTGACTTGGCATTGGAGGAAGTGCTGTTCAGTGAGAGTCAGGCACACTGGCTTCCACATCCTCTGATCCTGATAATGACATTCCAGATCTCTGCACCCAAGTTTTCCCAGTGCAGCCACCACATGCACAGTACCTGAGAAGCCCTGTGGCTGGGGTCACATCGTCTTCTCCACACTTTCTAATGAACAACAACAACAAGCAAAATGATTTTAAAGATCCTTGATGACTCTATGGTTCTTGGAAAAAAAAAAAAGCTTGAATTGCTATTGCAATTGTATGCAGCTGAGACATAGGAAAACTGTTAAAACTATTCATACTCTGTTCCTCTCATCCCACCCTCCATTGTTAATTCTCAGAAATGAGCTGGCTAAAATAGGCCCAGCAGTTCCAGTACAATTCCAGGGGGCGCCACACTGAAGCAACATAATGGCATATCCTGGAGCACACTATTCAGAGGCCCTAAGGAAAGGCTTTTAGGGCAGAAGGGGCCTGTCTTGAAATCTTATCTCTCCCACTCACTGTTTGGCCTTTGGCAAGCTATGTAATAATCTCTCCAATCCTGTTTCCTTCTCTGTAAAATAGAGATAATAAACTGTATTTCTAAAGGCTGCTTTAAAAACAAAGTAAGATAACACATGTAAAGAACTTTGTGTAGGGCAGCCCATGAACACCAACATTAGTTCTCTGAAAATCATAGAATTATCAGTTTCACCATACCATAAATAATAATATCTAACATCTATGGCCCATATTATAAGGAGATACCAAAACATATTAAACTGGGAATAGATTTCACCTGCTGACGATGCAGACTACGCCCAAAAGTTAAAGGGGTCTCAACATAATGACTCCAAAACCACATTATTTTTGTCTCAGTACTATCACCAAGGAGACTTCTCAATATGCTAATTCATTAATGTGTGTTGGTACAATTGTTATTAAGGATCAGCAACTGTTTAAATAAGACAGCATTCATTCATGACATACATATTGCTAACAAATTACAACATGATTGATTCATATATGTAGTCCCAGCTATTGCAGGGAAGTGAACCAGCGGATGGAAGATATTTCTCTCTCTCTCTCTTCCCCCAATCCCTGCAACTCTGCCTTTCGAATAAAATACTTAAAAAGAAAAAAAATGCATTTAAAAAAATAAATTATACATGTTAGACTGGAAAGGTTTAGCTATCATCCAGCCTATCTTCCACAGGTTCCACCTGGGAAATACAGAAAATATGAGCGACACTGACAGTCATAAAAGACAAAGCCAATTCTGATCCTGGCTTCATAACTTGTTCTCTCTCTTACTTCAGAAACCAATCTTCAGCTTCACTTATTACATATACCAACAATTTCATATGGACACATGGGTCCTCACCTCAGCTCTGCACAATTTGGGGTTCATGGGCAATGGGAGATGCCTGTAGGATGGGGCCAATGCCTGATGGAAGCAGCTGAGTGGGAAAGAGTGGAGAAGGCTGAGGACATGCACGGAGGTACAGGAAGAACACAATACAGAGGCCGTACGCCATCTTCCAGGCTGGGAGATGGGCAGTGGCTATAAAGGTCTATCAAGGGACCAAATATAGAAGCAGTCTTTGTATCCAGGAAGCAGCAGTGACTAGCACACAGCAGGTGCTTAATTTTTTTTACTGTATGATTGGATGTTAAGAAAACACCTGAAAGAAGTCATGAGAGCTTTAGAGGTAGAAGAGGGGGTACAAGGAAGGAGGAAGAGAAGGGTTAACAAATCTGTCCCCAACTTAGGAGGAAGGGGGTGGCTCGTCTTCATTGCCAGGTCAGTGAATCTGGGGTCTTTTTCTTCCTCCCTCATTTCCATTCTGAGGTGTGCAGTGGTTTCCATGGCACGGGGTCTGCTCTAAGGATGTCTCACTTGGCTCTCAGGGTGGGGCGTGGAAAGAGGGGCAGTTTTTCTCCAAGAGCAACTGAAATGCCAAGTCCATATGTCGCATTATTTTTAGAGTAGATTCAGTGCTTAAGTGCTAGCCATTCAGGCTACTGATGATACAAGGTGATCCTCAGAAAGTTCATGGAAAATAAGTATTTTTTTAAAAAAACTATGCATCAAAATAAACTTAATTTCTTTTTTTTTTTTTTTTTTGAGTTTTCCAACATATGCTTGTATTGGCACCAACAAGGAAAGGTTTCAGAATAGGAACTGAAGAACAAGAAATAAATCTAACCAGGGGTCAGAGTGATGAAGAAGGGAGAGCTGGGGTTCCCTCGCCAATTTCCCACTTCCTGAAAGCATAGTCCTATGCCTGGTGTGTTTCACCCCTCTGCTAAGTCTGTTAAGGCTGGACTTCCAAAGCAGGAATCATGTGAAGAGCATATGTAGTGTAGACATGATAGAATGCTATGTCTCATTATATTTCCTAAATGGGTCAATGTTTGATCAGAATTTTCCTTTAGACACCTACGTTTAATGTTTCTCACTTTCATATCATAGGATACGGCATCTCTGAAAAAATAAGCACTACTCATCACCTCTTCTATTTTTCTAGGACTAAATAAGGAAGCCGTGATAAAAGACTGCATTGATGGCTTAGATCTGTCGAGATTCTTATGACATAAGCAACTTCTCATTTAAGAGTAATACGAGCACTTCAGTGGATGATAACAAAGAATTGGACGGTGACTTCTCCATACAACATGTGGTAGATTAATGGCAAAATGACAGTGTGCAATCATTGCTAGGACAGAACAATGGATTCTGTCCCATGTTCACATGAAAGATGTGTACCACCCAGGAGAAAATGTACTATCTCTCATGTGATCTTCATTTTACATTTCGTTAAGGAAAAGTTGGTACATCTACAAAATTCAAAATCAAGAAAGCATGTCAGTGAAAAGACCAATGATATAAACATATAAACATCCTCCCTAGCTCAGAGTGACTGGCAAGGTTTTTACATTTTTTTGCACAGTTTGAATTCCCTAAAAAGCAATGCTACCTAAAAGAAACGTGTAAGCACCATTTAAATAGTTCTCATTACATTGCCAATGCTGCATTCGCCCCTTAAGGCTGGCTTACAGTACTTATCCTAACTCAGCTTGCATGCCATTCAAGGAATGAATGCTGACCTGTTATTTGAAAGAAAGTGATAGCTTCTTCTGGAATTTGTATAGTACTTGTAAACCATCTTGAGAAATAACAGGTAAAAGCTCCCCTTAATCAGTGTTCCGCGATGAAATTAGAAAAGGTAGTCAAGCAATGAAGCTGAATAGTTTTTCTAATAAAGAGACAGGTTTTTCTCATAGTACCAGTAATCTCGGTTATGGGCTAATTCTTCTAAAAAGTCCAGCTTTTGAATGAGTGCAAAAACCATGCCACTGTGTCTGGATTTAGCACACATGAACTCCTTAGAAAAGTTCTCATGCTGGCTAGCTCTGAGTATATTGATTGCTTTTTTTTTTTTGTCTTTACTTAGGCTATTGAACAACTAACATTTTACGTAAAAGTATAAGGGAACAGAGTGATGGAAGTCATACAAATGTCTGCTTACCTCCCATAATTTTTGATTGACAGTTAATAAACTCCGGCTTCCTGTCTGTGAGGTACCTCTGGCAGGTGTGGTGGAGGATCTGGAAGAAGGTGCATTTTTCTGAGGCTGTGCTGGCGACCCACTGGTCAAAAGTATTTTCAAACAACAAATCAAACTCTGCAGAATCCTGGAAAAGACAATGAAATTAGTGATCTCAGTCTATAAGAACTGTTGCTTCCAGCTTACCAATGCTAGAATACTGATAAAAGTTAAAACGAAGACTATGGTCCCAGCACAAGGTTCATATTTACTACGACTCACATGTGTAGACAGTCCACATTTCTCTGTTTATTAACCAAATCCCAGATAATACAGAATCTGCAGACGTCCCTCTAGAGCAAATATAGAAACTGAGCTAATCTAACTATACACTAACATATCACAATTCAGACCATATATTGTTTTTCCAATTATTTGGGAAAGGAGTCCTTCAGCAATATTCTGTACTAATTTTTTCCCTAAACTTAGGCAGGGAAATAGTCTCCTTTATTATTTTAATATATCCTACATTTTATTATCCTTCACTACTGATGTTTTGAGTGCTGTGTGTGGGTGAGCAAAGGAGCTGTCATTTTGATAACTACACCATAACGTGTTTTATTAAATCAATGGAATCATAATATACAGTTTCTAAGTTGCCTCTCATTTGATTTGGGGTAAATAAATCGAGTCATTGGTGATGTCAGGAGCTAAACGAAGCTTTGATGAGCACGGTTTCCTCATATTGATAACTGTGGATATGATCATCTGAACTCTGCCCTTTGCTGATAAACATGACTAGAAGTAGCACTCCAATATACGTCACCATAGGTTTCTTCATCAAACATGGTGAAAAGATTTGTAATTTCCCATAAGAAAGGAACAGGCATCAGAAAGTTTTAGTCACCTAATTGACATAGAGAAACTGCCCTGATAGGAATGATTCCGTCACCACCCCTTCCAAGGTCAATCAGAGAACCAGCTTGTGAGAAGAAGGCCTTGCTCAGCGTCGGACCATTCACTCACCCGGTTAGGATCGATTCCATTAACCTGGCGAAGCTGCTCGAGCATCCACTGCGACCTCCGAACAAACGACGTGGAGCCTTCAAACTGTTTGACCTTCGTGATGGACGCCTGTGTGGGTTTCTTGTTTGTCACTGCCAAGAGAAGACCAGTTGGATAAGTGGGTCTGCAGACTGGGCTTGTTTTCCCACTCAGTGTTGCCTTTGCATGCACCTACTATGCATATGCACAATGACGGACAGACAGGGAGGGAGAGACTACCAGTGAAGAGGCCTGCCTCAGGTTAGGAGAGAAGGCAAAAGACACAGAAGTTATAATCTCCTCTCAAGCAGTCCGCAATATGATTAAAATTGTAAAAGCTGCTTCATTTATGTCTTCATCGTTTAAACTGAAAATAAGTCAATCACCCCTAGTGCGTTTAATGAAGGCTACAGATGTACAATTACAGCTTGTAGAGCAAGAAGCATTAGGTAGGGTGCACTGGGAAAGGCTGATTTTTAAAGGAAGTGAAGGTTACTGGCTCCCCCGGGGAACTACAACACTTATTTCTAGTTCTACAGCCCAGCATAAACATGGCCCACTTCAGTGATAAGGAATGCCACCTCAGCGACCACGTCCCCATCCAAAAAATAATAAAATAAAAGAAGAAAGAGGAGGAGGAGGAGGAGTATTTGATTTTATAATATCGTTTTTTTAAAAGATCTATTTGCATCTGATCATGATTCGAAGGAGGAGGAAGGAGGAAGGAGGGAAGGGAGGAGGGGGAAGGGAGGAGAGGGAGGGGAGGTGGAGAAGGAGGAAGAGAAGAACTATTTGGCTTTATCTAGTTTTGTATCTATTTGCATCTGATCACGACTCTAACATTCAGGCACACAGCATCACACATGAATTCCTGAGGTCACCCCAGCTGCAGGGCCAGCCTTGGTCGCTTCTTCCCCAGCAAGATGACAGCATCTCCTCTCAGCCGGGTGCCCAGCACCTGGCACCGGAACAGCACCCTGAATATTCATACATCTGTTGACTTTGTGATTTAGAGACTGAAGGTGGGAGTGGGTAACTAAGGATCTTCAAAGGCTTTCCTAAAAGCTCCCTCCGAGCCCCGGTGCAGGAATCACTACGATTAGGTAGGTATAATGCTGTAAAGGAAGTAGGCAAAGCGGAAAGCACCATTGGCTATAATGGATTTGACCCTAGTCACTGACTTGCAGAACACTCAGCAACCATGGCATCTTTCTTTGTTTTAAATAATCCCATGGCTTCCCTGTTTCCCAATAACTATGCAGATGTCAATCAGTGGCAAAAAGAGTTCTTGAGGGACAAGAAGCACCTGCGCAATCATAGTTGGTCGTAAGAAGTTGCTATGGTTCATGCATTCCACACTCTACTGCAGTCTCAGCGTCTTGGGCCATTGCTGTGGGAGAGACTGCTGTGGGCCCTACAGTCTCAACACTGGAGTCTGTCTTCATAGCTTCAATACACTCTCCCTTTGCTCCTAGCCAGAACTGAACAAACTTTTTTTTTTTTTTTAACTTCAAATGATACTTTGGTTTATTGGCCATTATTTCAGTTATATTTGGTTAAAAGCTTCTGAACATTTCACACCAATTATATTTGCTTTCATGGTTAAAAGCCATCATTCCCTTAACACCCATGATCAGAGGAAATTTTATAGTCTTCTATTCACAAATGGCCTTTCTTCCCCTAACTAAATTCAGGCAACATTATCAGTCTGCCCAAGGTTTTGCTCATCCACTTAATTTGTTTTTTATTTTTTCTGTCTCCAATGACACAAATGGGAGACCTAATAGATTTCCCTGATGGTTGTGCCTTGCACTTGCACTGTAATGTTAAAGGAAACGACGCACCTGGAATATATGCAGCTCCTAAAAATGTGCTTAAAAGATTAAAGAATACTTTTCAATAACAGGAAAACATGGGTTCCTGTATTAGACACACACCCCTAAATGCACAAAGAGGATTTCCTCCTTTGTTTATGTAAATCAGATGGCACTCAAGCATCCTGGGAAATATGAAGGCCTTCCTTCTGCCTTGACAGTTGTTAGGAGCTTCTGTTTTCACCACTGGCCCGTTTGTTTCCAGTAGTTTACAGCATTATAAAATCTCAAACACAATGTGTGCTACTGGTATGTTTAGGACTCACAGTTCAGGAAGGTGAATTCCATTGGGACTTTGTCACTGAGATGAGGTGGGCAGGAACCCCACCCACAATGATAAATGTCCCCAACAGTGTCACCTTGCAGGGCAGTCACAAAAATGGAGGCAGTTACGACTCTATCCGTTCTTTTTCTCCCCCTATTAGTTTATTCTTTGCCCAGTTCTTGGAGTCTGGCTAGTTTTTCTGGGCACTGAGCCCAGTTGGTTTAATTTCTGTTTATTGTTATTAATTATAACATCGCAATTTCTATTTTGAAGCAGGTGCTTTAAAATGATATGATTATATACACATTACATTATACAGAGTTAAGTAAAAACTTTCCCCTTTTGAAATCAAAATACTTGTGCAAATATACAATTGCCAGACTTTTTCGGTATCACACTAGAAGGGACCACGTTTTAACTCCTTCCTTGTTTTGGTGTTTTTCAAGGTGTGTGGCTGACAAAAACTAAATCAGTCATCAAATTCCAGATGTCTAGTGAAAAAAGCATGATTTACCGTCCCCTTCCAAAGCAAAGCTTTAATAACACACTCTGGAAAATGCAAACAAATTACCTGGATCGACAATATAAAAAAGACCAAAGAAACATATCATGCTATATATCCAATCACTCTCACGCTATACCCCAATTCCATTATTTTCAATAATTGTATTTATTTTCAACTTCCTATTTATTATTTTCAGAAGACATATTTTACATTTACATTGTATCAAAAGCGTAATGCTCTACTGTATAAGGAGCTGGCACTGGGGTGGTTGTGTTACGCTTTCCACATCACGAGGAAAGGGTATCACTCTCAGGGTAGTACAGACCGCTCACAATCAGCCTTTCCCCCCGCGTCTCCACTCCGTCTGCTCATCAGTGCCCTCATCCACCCGAACTGTGTGAATCAGACCTCTGGAGAGTATGGCTCTGGCACCCACATTTTAAATCTTCCCAGGTATTTCTTTTTTTTTTTTTTTTTTTTTTTTTTTTTTTTTTTTTTTTGGACAGGCAGAGTGGACAGTGAGAGAGAGAGAGAGAGAAAGAAAGGTCTTCCTTTTGCCGTTGGTTCAACCCCCAATGGCCAGCGCACCGCGCTGATCCGAAGCCAGGAGCCAGGTGCTTCTCCTGGTCTCCCATGCGGGTGCAGGGCCCAAGCACCTGGCCCATCCTCCACTGCATTCCTTGGCCACAGCAGAGAGCTGGCCTGGAAGAGGGGCAACCGGGACAGAACCGGCACCCCAGCCGGGACTAGAACCCAGTGTGCTGGCGCTGCAGGCAGAGGATTAGCCTAGTGAGCTGCAGCGCTGGCCCATCTTCCCAAGTAATTCTGAGGCAGGCAGACTACTGAGAAGCACTGAATGTGATTTCATTCATTCACTCATTCATTCATTCATTCATTCAACAAATACAAAACATTTATTAGATGGCAGACACAGAATACATCCTTTGGCAATTCAAAGACTGAATAAGATACAATTCTGAGTCAAGAATTTGGTTGAGGAGGCCAGCTCTCTGCTGTGGCCAGGGAATGCAGTGGAGGATGGCCCAAGTGCTTGGGCCCTGCACCCCATGGGAGACCAGGAGAAGCACCTGGCTCCTGCCTTCAGATCAGCGCAGTGCGCTGGCTGCAGCGCACCAGCCGTGGCGGCCATTGGAGTGTGAACCAACGGCAAAAGGAAGGCCTTTCTCTCTGTCTCTCTCTCTCACTATCCACTCTGCCTGTCAAAAAAAAAAAAAAAAAAAAAAAAAAAAAAGAATTTGGTTGAGGAGGAAGGTAAGAAAGATGCAGAAGTGCATTAGGGGATACTGGGAAGGTAAATGACACCTGAGTTGGCCCACGCCTTGGGGGCAGGGTGCCTTAAGGACCAAAGTGGAGCTGGGGAGTCAGGGAGGCTTCCTGAAGCAGCCGCATCTCAGGCAATACGCCATGACTGCCCCCAAGCTGGCTTCTCTGACCGGCTTGTCCATGGGACTGAACTATCTTTAAGAAAACTTCCTGCAAGTCCCTTACCATGACCCACAATGACCTGAAAGACCTCACCCTTGAGGACTCCCTCATCCCATCTCCCATTTTGTCCACTAAAATTTTTGTTCCTGGGAAACACCAATCTCTTTCTACTTCTTTGCACCTGCTGTCCTCACTGCAGAAATGTTATTTCCCTTATTTCCCCATGATTGTCTCTTGCATACTACCCAGATTCTAGCTTATATGTCCACTTCACAGAAAAACACATCTATGATCAATTTATCCAAGTAGGTCCCCTTCATTTTTTTTTTTTCCACTGAATTCTGTTAATTTAAAAAACAGGTCTATTTCAAGCCTGGATAAAATATTCAACGTTTGCCTCTATGAAACATTTATGGAAAGCAACAGCCAGACTACTATCATGTCCACTTAGTCCTCAAATACGTAAGATGTGGATTCTTCCCCACATGGATCGTCTAAGCTGCCACCTATATGTTATAAATTTTTTCTAGTAACAATGCAAATGACTTTTATAGTATCCTGAGGTATTGTTTCCTTAACAGTTCCTTTTTGATAAACTCACTTTTCACTTACATAAATTAATAAATTATAAGAATAATTTATTAATAAATTAATAAATTTAAAAACCAGATACGTTATATAAAGTCACAAATGGATATACAGCTTTATCTTCCTTAAACAGAAAATAGTGTAAATAAAGAAATCATAAATACTATTAATTTCAAACTAGAGAGGGGTTGGCATTTGAAGTCTACTCTTGGGTAAAATGGGTGATTGGCAAATGGAAATAGGGATTAAAGACTATTACAACATAGATACTCTAAAAGATATAGCTAAAAACCTTAACAGGAGGGTCAGGAGGGTGAGGAGGGTGAGGAGGGTGAGGAGGGTGAGGAGGGGGAGGAGGGTGAGGAGGGGGATGAGGGTGATGAGGGGGATGAGGGTGATGAGGGTGATGAGGGTGATGAGGGTGACGAGCACTTG